GGAGAATAGATGGAGAGCAGCACGGAGGAGAGGGACTTGGATCCTCACTCTCATGAGTCCAAGAGAAGCTCAACATGAGCCAGCAATGTGCACTGGCAGTCCAGAAAGCCAACTGTGTCCTGGGCTGCATCCAAAGCAGCGTAGCAGCAGATCAAGGGAGGTGAGTCTGCCTCTCTACTCTGCTCTTGTGAGACCACTCTCTGCAGTGCTGTGATCAGCTCTGGAGTTCCCAACACAAGAAGGACATGGAGCTGCTGGAGCGGGTCCAGAGGAAGGCTATGAAGATGATCCGAGGGCTGGAGCACCTCTGCTATGAAGACAGGCTGAGAGAGTTGGGGCTGTTCAGCCTGGAGAAGAGAAGGCTCCGGGGTGATCTTATTGCAGCCTTCCAGTACTTATAGGGGGCCTACAGGAAAGCCGGAGAGGGGCTTTGGACAGGGGTATGTAGTGACAGGACAAGGGGCAATGGCTTCAAACTGAAAGAGGGGAGATTTAGATTGGATATAAGGAAGAAATTTTTCACTGTGAGGGTGGTGAGGCACTGGAACAGGTTGCCCAGATAAGCTGTGGCTGCCCCATCCCTGGAAGTGTTCAAGGCCAGGCTGGATGAAGCTTTAAGCAACCTGATCAAGTGGAAGGTGTCCCTGCCCATGGCAGGGGGGTTGGAACTAGGTGATCCTTCAGGTCCCTTCCAACCCAAACAATTCTATGATTCTAATGGAACAAGCATGAGGAAAGACTTCTCTCCTCTATCAGATGCAGCTGAAGATATACAAGGAAGGAATAAAAGGGGGAGAAATGAAAACATTTCTAGTGATGTATTGCACTTTAGTGGGCCTCATTTTACTAATATAGGCTAGGTGATTTTCAAATAAGCCAGAAAAAATGCTGCTTAGGAGGTATATTCTGGCATAAGGAAAAAAAATAAAGATGAAGAACAAAAGGCTTAAGTAGTTTGATAAGTAATGCTATCACAGCCCACACTGATCTCTCCCTTTATTTGTGAGCAGCACTTTTACTGTTAAAGATCTGCAATTCAAAAGTCAAAGTGGAAACTTTCCAATTTTGGCCAACTGTTTTAACCCTTACAAGTTCCAAAACTTACCACTCTCGTATCTGGCGCAAAGCCCTTTGCCATCTCCATGCCAAAGCTGAGAGAAAACTGTAACATCCTGAAAAGACTCGTATAACGTGCTCCGCATTGCATCTGCACTTAGCAGCCCTGCACGCTACCGCTAAAACTATGTCCTACCACAGTTTATGTCCTTGTGTGCCTGCACCGGCTGGTTTAGTTTCAAGAGTGGGGAGGATGCATAAGGACGTTCAGTGAACAAAGTTATTCATTCAACGTCTCTGCCTCCCTCACAAAAGTACCTATCCTGCAAGAATACAGGGACCGAAGAATGACCACAAGCTATAACAACCATTATAAACAAGCCCATAAACACGCCTGTACCTCTTGGCGCCCGCCGGAGCACGCCAATGAAAGCGGAGTATCCTTTGTGCGCTCAGACTGTGCTTCAATATCCCCACCTTTGTCTAGAAGAATTTCCACTACGCCAACGTGTCCAGCAGTTGCCGCTAGAATCAAAGGCGTAAAACCTAGTAACAAGAGATCATGTTAAAAGCAACCTTGAGAATCTCAAAAGTATTATGAAGGAGCAGAAATGCACAAAAGGGTTAATTCACAATGAGTACTATTGAATCAGACATGTCATCCTCAGACTGGGGGTTTCCTGGTATAAGCCACAATCTCAGACCCTTCCCCAGCCCTCTTCCGGCCCTGACACATCTAGGCTCCAATTCCAGTCAAATATAATTGAAGGCTCTTCAAAAGAAATCTAAGCAGACTTGCACTTATCAGTTTGAATAAAGTTCTGACCAGCTCATCTTGTTAGAGAAGTCAAGGCTTTCCACTTAATTCCTATTTAATAAAGATCCAACAAGCGAACACATCTGCACTGCGCATGTTGCTTGTTTCCAGTGGCCAATGTGAGTTCCAAGGAGAGGGGCATGGTGGTTTTGTTCTCTCAGCTCTAAAAGATTTGAGATTTTACTGAACTGTTATTGGGAACAATATGATAAACAACCTGACAACTACTTCCCATTAGCTTTGTCAGCCAAGATTTGATATTTACGCCCATCAGCCACTCTATCCAGCGTGCTAAGGTCTTTTGTAGAGGGTGAATCATAAGGATAAAAGTGCTTCACATTTGGCAAACCTGCCCAAGATACCACTCAGATGCGCTTCCTTTCCAAAACACAGGTAGAAAGGCGCGCGATGTCACTGGCTTGATACGCCCAGTATTTCTACATGAAGTGCAAGAACGCAATTATACATTTTTACAAGCTTTGGTCATTTTCTGAAGCAAATGATCCCAAATCCCACTTCGAAATTTACTATTTCAAGTTGAAGTTCATGGTCAAACTGGTTTACTGTTTCAGCTTACCCTTCTTGTCTCTATGTTCAATATTGGCACCACGTGCTATCAGTACAGATACAAGTTCTTCGTGACCTCCCGCACATGCGAGGGTCAGAGCAGTGTCATGATTACTTTCAGTCTTCATGATTGGGAAGAAAAAGAAATATATTCAGAAATTAAAAATACTTTAAGAGAACTTTAACATTTTTAAGACAGTACTAGATTCATTTTTTTCCTTTCAGAACTTATCAGAAAGCAGCTCCACTCAAAACCAACTGCCACTACTCACATGCGCATCGATGTCAACTGAAGGATACATGGGGAGCACCGACTGCGAGGGCACATTGCTCAACGCCTGCGAACAAGGCTCCGGCGTAGGGGATTCAGTAGTGTGCGAGGAGCTGGTGGAGCCACTGGGCACTCTGCTGTTCACAGCTGCAAAGTAACACCGTGTTATTAATCCACTCTTAGGAACGCTACATTTTCTATGAAAAAGATTTAGTCCCATAGAACTGCAACGGGCTAATACAAAAACAGTAACGGGGGGAAACAAATTAAGTGTTCCTAAAAACAAACAAGTTGGTGTCTTGCACAAAGCAGCTTTCCAGCAGTTAAACAGTGTAAGTACAGTCTCCAAACTGTGTTAAGTTACAAAATAATTTTATGAATTAGTCTGTATGCATTCCGAGTATAAATTACGAAGATCATTAGTTATCCTTTTAAAACTGTAACCGTCGCTGTTAGATTTCAATCATATGCTCAGTCTAAGCAGGCAAATGATCCCTGAAACACAAGCCTAACGTTCAGGAATATAGCCTCATTCTGGAATTCCGATGTTTTTCTTGTAAAGGTTAGTGCACACCTAGTCTCCAGAGAAGGTTTTCAAAGCAAGATGACTGACAGCAACTTACACCATTAATCGTGTCTCAAAGTTAAAACAACCCAGGAAGGGTAGAAGAGAAGCAGACAAGAGGGGGCAGTCAACAAAAAGAGGAAAGCTGAAAGCTGTCTGTGCTCCCTAAAATTTCTTCTGATTGGTCCATGGCCTGTAAAAGATTTCATCCTGAAGATCTAGCACAGCTCAGAGACACAAGGAATGCAACTTCATCTTTTTTTTTTGTTTAAATAACAATTTAGAAAAAAACCCTCTAATTAAGAATTAAATTTTATTCCACTAGTTTTAAATGAAGCTTTACCAGAACAAGCAGAGAGATGCCCTGCACATCCATAGGGTGGGGGCCGCGATCTCTGCCTGCCCTTGTAACCAAGCGAGACCCTGAGGGGAGCCGAAGCAAACCTGACGCTCAGCTGGGACGACCCGGCAGGAAGGTCAAACCACCCTATGCGCCAGCTGCAGGTGCACGTTGAGCAGAGCAAGTCGTGCTATTCAGCAGCTGGATTTAACGCGGATTTTCACTGCGGGATTGCCAAGCTTTTATACTGTGCAGCCTCATTGGACGTAATGCCTGGTGAGCTTTAGCTATTCCAAAACACACAGTATTTTGCAGCGTTCCTGGAACAAGCAACTGATGGAAAACACTCACAACTGCAGGTAAGAAATATGCAGCAGCATTTTGCTTTTGTCCAAGTGTTTCAAGCAATAAGCAAAGATGAAAGATGAACTCAAACCTGCATATGACAAAGAGAAATTTCTGCAAAACTTTCCCAGCTCAACCTTCCTGATTCCATTAACAAACTACACACCAGTAATTACTCACGGGAAAACGCTGCAGATGGAAAAGTGTTAGAAAACTCCTCGACATCACCACTAATACCACTAATTCGGCCTACAGGACTGCACACGCATGACAAAGGAAACACAGACTGGAGCAAGGTTAGGTGGGTCACTGGAGCTGGGTTCTGGAAACACGGGGCGGGGCTTGGCACTGACATTCTGAGAGGTGACAGTTTTCAACTGTATTTTTCAAGTAAAGCATTCTCCTTGGCACAGAGGCAAACCGGCATTAACGGCTGGCTACCACATGAAGCAACAAAGCACCTTCTCTGAACTCAGAGTCGACTTCTGCTTCTGGTTACGACCCTCACTATCCAACCAGGTTTGTACTAGAAGTTTCAAATATGAAAGTTCCTACACTGCATCTGCTTGCTATGGATTACCACTTATAGCAGCAGATGAGCATTAATTAATGCAATACAATTGTTTTCTTGCTCAATGCACTGAAGTGCAAGATATTAATTGGATTTCTAAAGATTATTCCTTCCAAAAGACAAGACACTCAATTACCCCATTATGGACTTACATTAAATCAAATTGGTCCTTCCTCATGAAAGCACTGAGCCAGTGTCTTTCAGATCTTGCAACTATAGATATGTTTTAAAACTCATGCGTGTGCCGTGCATACAAAGCAGGGGTGTGCAGAAGGACTCCACTCAAGCCAGTTTAAGGGTCCTTATGTAATATATTCAGTGTTGCTGTTACAGGTTCCACAGATTCTCTACATTTCACAACCATGACTGAAAATGTCCAAGTATCTCTTGCATACTTCAGATTTTCATCATGTGTTTCAAACACAAGTGTGCACTAAGCACTTCACGTGCACAGCAACAACGTCAAACGTGAGAGAGAACACCAAAGGCAGTAGAAATGCAGATAAATCCTGTACTGATACCCTAAACTCTTGTTTGAGATAAAAATCTAACAATAATATTCCTACAATCCTCACCAACTAATCATCCCCTCTGTAACTACTAAGTTTAGAAAACTGCAGGATTTTTTAGTGTAATTTTCTACTTCCTTAGCGTGGCTGGCAAGCTGGCCCAATGGAGCATCAAGATAATTTGTGCTCTGCGGAGCAAAACACATCTGAAAACTTCTACCTCCAGTTTCATGAGGCTGATTTAGCTCAGCCTAAGTTACACAACATACAGATTGTTAACTCAAAGATTACCTTGCAGCAATGGTTCCAACTTCTCTTTGCATACATTTGCATGAAATTGGAGTTAACTTTTATTTCCCCAAATCTGTTTCTGGATTACCAACCTCAATCACAGCAGGTGGGACAGCTACTGCTCCTGCAAACCTCACCCAGGGAGGTGAGGTTGTCCTGTTGATGGGACACAACGGGAGAGCAACCTCTCTGCTTCTGCCTCCTGCTACTAGGAGCAGTCCTGCCGTGCCCTCAGGGATGACTTCATCCTTCATCGGTTTGACACCAGGGAAGTCAAGGATGTCTTGCTAGCCTTTAGCAGGTCGGACTCACAGCACCAGTAGATAACCTGCAGTCTCACCACCATGCCCTGCTCCAGACTTTCACCTCAATACTCGGCATTAAGGCAGGAATGACTGCAGCACTACAGCTCAGCAGTGGAGAGCAGCACTGGCACTGCCCGTGACTCCAAGGGGAAAGGCTAGCTGGAGGGCATAAAACCAACTGTGGGATGATGACCTTCAGCATCTCTATACCACACCACAAGATTTTAACAGACTAGAAAAATGTGTGGCTTTCACCCCCTGAGAAGACAAGGGGGAAACTTTCCAACATGCAGATTGCCTCCTATTGAACAGGCATTTTGTCTTTTCACCAGGAGGGGTACTGATAAACACACCGGCAGCCAAGTATTGATTAAAAAACCAAATAAAAATAAATTTTCATCATGTGTACCTCAGATATTTACAAAACACCTATTTTGTGACGCAGGTTTTGGCTGTCTCCATAGAGCTCAATATTCAAAAGCCAGGTATTTGAAAAAAAAAAAAAAAATTATTCTACACATGACAAAAGCCAGGTTCCGCACATTTTAGGAATGGCTTGCCGCTTTCCAAAGGGACTTTCTTTGAATCAGCGTCAAGTCGAAGACAGATCTCCAAAGACATGGATGACTATTTTCCAAAGTCATGAAAAAATACGGGAAACATGAGTAAAACGGAAGTAAGCAAGAATTTGCTATTTCATCCAGGTACAACCCCGAGGGCACTGGCAGAACCTCGAGCAAGCAGCTCCAGACAAGACTGTAGCTGCAGTCTGAAACCGCATCTACCTAACAATTGTCATGTCCTGAGCATGGATGTCCATGAATACTGGACTTGGGTTTCAGTTCCCCTTTCCTCAAACGAAGTAGGATTGTTTTCTTTGTCCTGAAAATCCTTTTTCATGACTTTCTGTCTTTCAGTCTGTCCGTGCAGCTTCCCAGTAACATGTTACTGCACAGAGGCTTTTGCACATTGGGAACTGCATCTCCTTTTCAGTCACTATTTCTCACTCTGATTATCCTAGTAACCAGTTTTGCTCCAAACAGCCATCCTAAATACAGTAAGTCAGATGTCACCTTCCAAATAGTTATGTTAAAACACCACAATTCTGTGTAACTGACCACAACCAGAATTGCAGAACCAAGTACCAGTTTCATAAAGTTTCTCAAAACCTGTCTGGGATTTCAGATGCAAGTGGGAGCTGCCTGGACAGTCAGACAGAAGCACACAGAGATGCCACCTCCTGACTAAAAATACCAGCTGAGTAGAACATGCGGGAATAAAAATATTCCAACTAGAGACAAAACCTAGCAACGAGGAAAAGAAAGTTCCTCATCTTGAATACCCTAGAACAACAAAAAAGCCTCAATTCAGATACTGCCAACTAAGGAATCCACAGTAAATGCATCATGGGAATTGAAATGAAACTCCAACTACGCAAGACAAGATGCTTCAAGAAACCAGGTGTGTACTGAGTAACAAAAATTAGATCCAAAATGTCCTTTTCTCTTGGAAGATGTGATCCAAAATAATTTATTGCTTTCCCACTCTAAGCTGCACGTCTACATCTCTTTTGTAAAACCAACTAAAATTTTGACTGTAACAGGTCACACCTTCAAAAACAGGATTAGTTATGAGATTTTTGCTCCAGCATATCTTGTATTAAAAAACCATAATTATTCTACACATGACAAAATCCAGGTTCCCCACATTTTAGAACATCATTAACTTCATTACAACCAAAACGCTCTGGAGTGGAAAGAGCAGCTTCTTTTTTAGGTTTTAACTGACTTTCCAAAGGTTATTGGGTTACTTTTGTGTAGATTTATGAAAGAGGGGACTCGGGTACACAGCTACCAGCGACCGACTGCCAGCAAGACTTCCAGCACCTCACACCTTGGCATTAACCATCTCAGCGCCCAGCAGCTGACAAATTACGCCAGCAGGCTGGCAAGATAAATACTCCATTTAAGTATGTTGTCATGGTTAAGTAATTAGCAAAATAAAGATTTGAGGTTTTGTAGAAATGCAAGTTCTCCCTTACAAATACTCTCAATTGAGGCTTTGAAAACTTTGCCTCTTACACTGCCACTGGTAAGAGCAACAGTGAAAGGTATTTCGGTGCAGAGGGCAAAAGGCTGGTAAGGTTCCTGTTTTTCT